TGTGTTCTTGAAAAGTAGCCCCGTTTTTTTTTGTGTTCTTAAAGTAGGGCCCCCCGTTTTTTTTTGTGTTCCTTTACGTAAACCCTGTTTCTTTTTGTTTTTGAAAATAGTCCTTTTTCTTTTTTGTTCTTGAAAAAAGGTAGCCCTTTTTCTTTGGGGTTTTTTTGAAAGTAGCCCTTTTTCCCTTTTTGTTCTTGAACGTAGCCCCCCGTTTTTTTTGTGTTTTTTGAAAAAGGAGCCCTGTCTCTTTTGTGTTTTTTTGAACGTAGCCCCCGTTTCTTTGGGGTTCCCTTGGGAAATAGCCCTGTGTTTTTTGTGTTTTGAACTTAAACCCCCCTTTTTTTTGTGTTTTTTTGAACGTACCCTGGTTTTTTTTTGTGTTCTTGAACGGAGCCCCCGTTTTTTTTGTGTTTTTGAAAAGTAAAACCCCCCCTGTTTCTTTGTGTTCCCTTTAACCCAGCCCTGTTTCTTTGTGTTTTTTGAACGTAGCCCTGTTTTTTTTCTTTTTTGTTCTTTTAACTTTTGCCCTGGTTTTTTTTGTGTTCTTTTAAAGGGAGCCCTGTTTCTTTTTGTTCTTTAACGTAGCCCGTTTTTTTTGTGTTCTTTAAAGACCCTGTTTTTTTCTTTGTTTTTGAACGTAGCCCTGTTTTTTTTGTGTTTTTTGAACGTAGCCCTGTTCTTTGTGTTCTTGAACTTTTTCCCCGTTTTTTGGGGTTCTTGAAAGTCCCCCCGTTTTTTTTGTGTTCTTGAAAAGTACCCCCGTTTTTTTTTGTGTTTTTGAACTTGCCCCCGGGTTTTTTTTGGGTTTTTTGGGCGTAGCCCCCCGTTTTTCTTTGGGGTTCTTTTAAAAATAGCCCCGTTTCTTTTTTGTTCTTTTAAGTACCCTGTTTCTTTTTTGTTCTTTAAAGGGAAACCCTTTCTCTTTTTGTTCTTTTAACGTAAACCCTGTTTCTTTTTGTTCTTGAACCTAGCCCTGTTTTTCTTTGTGTTTGAAAGTAGCCCCGTTTTCTTTTTTGTTCTTGAAAAGTAGCCCTGTTTTTTTTTTGTGTTCTTTTAACGAGCCCTGTTTCTTTTTTGTTCTTGAACTGCCCTTTTTTTTTCTTTGTGTTCTGAACGTAGCCCGTTTTTTTGGTTTCTTGAACGAGCCCCCGTTTTTTTTGTGTTTTTGAACGTAGGGCCCCGTTTTCTTTTTGTTTTTTGAAATACCCTTTTTCTTCTTTGTTTCTTGAACGTGCCCTGTTTTTTTTTGTGTTCCCTTTAACGTACCCTGTTTTTTTTTTGTGGTTTTTTTGAACGTGCCCTGTTTTTTTTTGTGTTCTTGAACGTAAACCCCGTTTCTTTGTTGGGTTTTTTGAAAGTAGCCCTGTTTCCCTTTTTGTTCTTGAAAGTACCCTGTTTTCCCTTTTTGTTTTTTTGAAAAGTTTTTCCCCCGTTTCTTTTTGTTTTCTTGAAAGTAGCCCGTTTCTTTTTTGTTCTTTAAAGTACCCTGTTTCTTTGTGGTTTTTAACGTACCCTGTTTCTTTGTTTCTTTAAAGTACCCCCGTCCCCTTTGTTTTTTAACGTAAACCCTGTTTCCTTTGTGTTCTTGAACGTAGGCCCCCGTTTTTTTTTTGTTTCTTGAAATAGCCCTTTCCTTCGGGGTTTTTTTGAAAATACCCTGTTTTCTTTTTGTTCTTTAACCTAGCCCTGTTTTTTTTGTGGGTTTTTGAAAGTAGCCCCCCGTTTTTTTTGGGGTTTTTTGAAAAGAAACCCTGTTTCTTCTTTTTTGTTCTTTAACGTAGCCCTGTTTCTTTTTTTCTTTTTTGTGTTCTTCAACGTACCCTTTTTTTTTGGGGTTTTTTGGAAATACCCTATTTTTTTTGTGTTCTTGAACGTTCCTTTTTTCTTTGTGTTCTTGAAAAATAAGCCCTTTTTCCTTTTTTGTGCCTTGAAAAGTAGCCCTTTTCCTTTTTGCTCTTGAACGAGCCCTGTTTCCTTTTTTGTTTTTTGAAAGTTTGCCCCGTTTTTCCCCTTTTTGTCCCTTAAAGTATCCTGGTTTTTTTTTTGTGTTTTTTTTGAACGTTAGCCCTGTTTTTCCTTCTTTTTGTTCTTTTACCGTAAACCCTGTTTTTTTTCTTTGTCCCCCTTTTAACGTACCCTTTTTCTTTTGTTTTTGAACGTAGCCCGGTTTTTTTTTGTGTTCTTGAAAGTAGCCCTTTTTTCTTTTTGTTCTTGAAAGTACCCCGTTTTTTTTTGTGTTCTTGAACTTACCCCCTGTTTTTTTTTGTGTTTTTTTGAACGCCCCCCGTTTTTTTTGTTTTTCTTGAACTAGCCCCCGTCTCTTTTTGGGTTCCCTTGGGAAAGTAAACCCCCCTTTTTTTTTTGTTTCTTGAACGTACCCCCCTTTTTTCCTTTGTGTTCTTGAACTAAAACCCTTTTTTTCTTTTTGTTTCTTGAACGTAGCCCTGTTTTTTTTTTTTGTGTTCTTGAACCTAAACCCCGGTTTCTTTGTGTTCTTGAAAAATAACCCTTTTTTTTCTTCTTTTTCCCCCTTTTTGTTCCCTTGAACCGGTAGCCCTTTTTTTTGGGTTTCCTTTTTTTTTTTTTCTTTAACCTTGCCCTTTTTCCCTTTTTTTTTTTTTACCGTACCCCCTGGTTTTTTCCCTTCCCTTTTTGTTCTTGAAAGGAGCCCCCCGTTTTCTTTTTGGTTCTTGACCCTAGCCCTGTTTTTTTTTCTTTTGTGTTTTTTTTTTTGAAAAGACCCGTTTCCCCTTTTTAAATTTTTTTTTTTCATTATTCCACCTGTGTTAGTTACTCACCTGGTCTCATCAGCTCCTTATTTAGTTCAGTTCTTTCTGTTTGTGCCTTGTGAGGTATTGTTCATTTTGGCTCTAAGCCTTTTCCTAGCTCGTTTGAGAGAACCAGTTTTAGCCTTCAGTCCTAGTTTTGTTTCACCTGCCTGTTTGCCTACTTGTGTATGACCATTGCCTGCGACCACGATTCCTGGCTTCTATGAAGGCGTAATAAACACCTGCCGCGCGTGAATCTACACCTTTTTCTCCCTGAGTATTCATTACAGTTATGGGTTAGATGAAATGATTTAGGTGTAAATGTACACTACATTTTAGTCATTTAGCAGACGCTCTTATCCACAGCGACTTACAGTTAGTGAGTGCATACATTTTCATACTGGCCCCCCATGGAAACGAACCCACAACCCTGGCGTTGCAAGCGCCATGCTCTACCAACTGAGCTACAGGGGACTACACTACCGGTCAAAAGTTTTAGATCACCTACTCATTCAAGGGTTTTTCTTACAGAAAATATAGAAGATAGCCCTAATTGGTGAAAGACCAAGTCCCTATTATGGCAAGAACAGCTCAAATAAGCAAAGAGAAACGACAGTCCATCATTATTTTAAGACATGAAGGTCAGTCAATACGGAAAATTTCAAGAACTTTGAAGTGCTATGATGAAACTAGCTCTCATGAGGACCGCCACAGGAATGGAAGACCCATAACTTCATTTGAGTTAACTGCACCTCAGATTGCAGCCCAAATAAATTATTCACAGAGTTCAAGTAACAGACACAGCTCAACATCAACTGTTCAGAGGGGATTGTGTGAATCAGGCCTTCATGGTCGAATTGCTGCAAAGAAACCACTACTAAATGACACCAGTAAGAAGAAGAAAATTGCTTGGGCCAAGAAACATGAGCAATGGACATTAGATGAATGGAAATCTGTTCTTTGGTCTGATAAGTCCAAATTGGAGATTTTTGGTTCCCAACCGTCGTGTCTTTGTGAGATGCAGAGTAGGTGAACGGATGACCTCTGCATGTGTGGTTCCCCCGTGAAGCATGGAGGAGGAGGTGTGATGGTAAAAAAAAACTGTAAAATTAGGATGAATAATATCCGACAATACTTTTTTTATTCTATGCGCTAAGGTGGAACTCTTTGTTTTTGTCAGGGTAGGCAAGACATGGAGCAGTGCAGAGGTTGTTTCAAAGCATCCATTGGTTGTTGATGTTCAAATATCCTGTATTTTTTAAGTAGTGCCAGATCTGCATAGGGTCTGGCCAGATCTGCAGTCTTCAATGAATTGCATATACCCAGGAAGCTGCACAATTCCAAGACATTAGCAGGAGGTCTGTATCATCTGTATTGCTGTATATTCTGCCTGATTGGGGAATCCGTTCGATCTAACTAGGATTCCTACATACCCAACTTTTGTTTGGCACCACTTTCCTTTTGTGATTAACAGTTGGGCACCTGCGTTCGTCAGCTGATTGAGAACGTGCCCTAGTTCAGCCAAGTGATCATTCCATGAGGATATCGTCCACATACAGTAGATCAGGTTTCCGCTGGCTGATATGTCTCCAATGGCCTTGTGCAAGAAGACATTGAACTCCACTGGCGAGTTTGAATATCCAACATTTTAGAAGGTTTGTGTTGGTCTTTGGGGTCAACTTTCATTCTCCACAAACCATTTGCCACATCGACAGTGGAGAAGTACTTGGCCTGTGTCATTTTCGCCAGTTCTTTGTCCAGACTAATCATTGGCCATCTGGAAAGTGGGATTTGTCTGTTCAGCTGCTGATAGTCAATTGTTAGGCACCAGGTTAGGCACCAGGTTAGGCACCAGGTTAGGCACCAGGTTAGGCACCAGGTTAGGCACTAGGTTAGGCACCAGGTTAGGCACCAGATTAGGCACTAGGTTAGGCACCAGGTTAGGCACCAGGTTAGGCACCAGGTTAGGCACTAGGTTAGGCACCAGGTTAGGCACCAGGTTAGGCACCAGGTTAGGCACCAGGTTAGGCACCAGGTTAGGCACCAGGTTAGGCACTAGGTTTTAACACAGGCCACAAAGGGGAGATGTATGTACTATTGCACTCCCTGATAATCAGTTTCTCCAACAGAGTGTCAAAGATTTATTGGATAGAAGCGTAGGCGATGAGAGGAATTGTGTACTAACATTGGAAAGTAGGGGCCACGTTAGGATCTGTGGGAATATGCACTGTGTCATTTAGCATCGCGTTTGCATTTCCAAGCATTAGTTGCACCTCGGTTCAGGTTCTCCCACCTCAGCTTCAAATCCGGGGTATGGTTCAGGATCTCCCACCTCAGCTTCAAATCCGGGGTATGGTTCAGGTTCTCCCACCTCAGCTTCAAATCCGGGGTATGGTTCAGGATCTCCCACCTCAGCTTCAAATCCGGGGTATGGTTCAGGATCTCCCACCTCAGCTTCAAATCCGGGGTATGGTTCAGGATCTCCCACCTCAGCTTCAAATCCGGGGTATGGTTCAGGATCTCCCACCTCAGCTTCAAATCCGGGGTATGGTTCAGGATCTCCCAGCGGTGGCTGTGTCTGACCTGTCGTTATCGTGTGAATGACAATTTGATCCTTGCTACTGAGGTCTACTTGTTACACAGTATCACTGCATACGGTTTGAGCCAGGGAATAAGACATTGTCAACATCCTGATCAGCTGATCAAGTGGGAAGTAGTTATCCAATGACTGGAATGTTCAGTTCAAAGTCAAGTTCGGAACTGTCAATCAGGTAGCCCAAGGCAATATGCGAATGTCTGCCTCTTGAAGGATATCCGCATACCGTCAGTAGTTATTCAACTCCTTGTTGTTAAGGTTGAGTTTTATTGCGCACACTCCTGTTGCTGTGGAAACAGCTTGAGGGGTGGTAGCAAGAAGAAATCTATTGCATTTTTGTGCCAGAGGATTTGGAGAGAGAGAGAGAGGAGGAGAGAAGAGAGGAGAGAGAGAGAGAGATAGAGAGTAGAGAGAGAAGCGATGATGAAGAGAGATGATCAAGAGAGAGCGAGAAGAGAGATGAGAGAGACGAGCCTAAAGCTAGGCGATCTCTCTCGATCTTACTAGCCGATGAGAGATATTTATATTTAGCTCTCTTTTTCCTCTTATAGAGAGAGAATTTAACTATTCTCTCGATCTTATCAGCGAGTGGAGAGAGAGAGAAATAGAGAGATCAGCTGTCCATGTAGCTAGGAACTACCTCAAGCCTGTTGGGCTGTGGGGCCAAATGCTTGTTATGACTGGAGCAATGGTCTATTGTCCCTCTGAATGAGTTCCTGCTTTAAGCTGCTACAACACTGGAGAGCTGCATAAGTCTCTTACAGACACACAGACACATAAACATGCATGCACACGCACACACATAACCTTCAATTGTTGGGTTGTTGTTGGGGAGAGGTTGCAGAGTAAAGTCTAGAGCATTCTGGGAAATTATACAATGTTGTTTATCGCTTCCTTTACAGAGTCTTACTGAGTTACTAAACAGCTGCTGATGTAGTTAATTCAGGTCAATGTTTATAATATTCCCAGTCTGTGTGTTTATATGTGTGTCTGTCTGTCTGTCTGTTTGGGTGTACTACTGTGTATCCAGTAATCCTATTTTCAATTCAAAGGGATTTATTTGCATGGGAAACATATGTGACTCATTTCAGGAAACTAGATGTATGTCGCGCGTCCCTGCTTCACAGGAGAGCCATTTGAAAATACTTTATTTTTTAAATAAGTTTTTGTTCAGAAATACCTTCTGGAACATGTGAACTTTATTGTAATCACTCCTTCCCTATTTAACCCAGTGGCTCCCAATGTGTTTTGTGCGTGGTTGTTTTCGTTTCGTGTGTCGTTTGTGAGCGGGTTAGTTCCTCCCTGTGTGGAGAGATTTCTGTATTGTATCTGTATTACTTATCTCAGTAAAGTACGTTTCTGAGAGTTCTGTGTCCTGCGCCTGACTTCGACCCACCGCATTACACTGACACTCGGGACAGGAGGTTAGGAAGTGCAGCACAGTTTCTACCTCATTTTGTGGGCAGTGTGCACGTAGCCTGTCTTCTCTTGAGAGCCAGGTCTGCCTATGGTGGCCTTTCTCAATAGCAAGGCTATGCTCACTGAGTCTGTACATAATCAAAGCTTTCCTTCATTTTGGGTCAATCACAGTGGTCAGGTATTCTGCCACTGTGTGTTCTCTGTTTAGGGCCAAATAGCATTCCAGTTTGCTCTGTTTTATGGTAAATTCTATCCAATGTGTCAAGTAATTCTCTTTTTGTTTTCTCAAGATTTGGTTGGGTCTAATTGTGTTGCTGTTGCTATCCTGGGGCTCTGTGGGGTCTGTTTGTGTTTTAGGACCAGCTGGTTTAGGAAATATTATTTTGTAAGTGATGGCTTTGTTATGGAAGGTTTTGGAATCAATTCCTTTTAGGTGGTTGTAGAATTTAATAGCTATTTTCTGGAATTTGATAATTAGCGGGTATCGGCATAATTCTGCTCTGCATACATTATTTGGTCTTTTACGTTGTACACTGAGGATGTTTTTGCAGAATTCTGCAATGGAGTCTCCAATTTGATGTTTGTCCCATTTTGTGAATTCTTGGTTGGGAAGCAAACCCCAGACCTCACAACCATAAAGGGCAATGGGTTCCATAACTGATTCAAGTATTTTTTACCAGATCCTAATTGGGATGTTGAATTTTATGTTCCTTTTGATGGCGTAGAAGGCTCTTCTTGCCTTGTGTCTCAGATCGTTCACAGCTTTGTGGAATTTACTTGTGGTGCTGATGCTTAGGCTGAGGTAGGTATAGTTTTTTGTGTGCTCTAGTGCAATGGTGTCTAGATTGAATTTGTATTTGTGTTCCTGGCAATGGGACCTTTTTTGGAACACCATTATTTTTGTCTTACTGAGATTTACTGTCAGGGCCCAGGTCTGACAGAATCTGTGCAGAAGATCTAAGTGCTGCTGTAGGCCGTCTTTGGTTGGGGACAGAAGCACCAGATCATCAGCTAACAGTAGACATTTGACTTCATATTCTAGTAGGGTGAGGCCGGGTGCTGCAGACTGTTCTAGTGCCCTCGCCAATTCACTAATATACAGTATGTGTTGAAGAGGGTGGGGCTCAAGCTGCATCCCTGTCTCACCCCACGGCCCTGTGGAAAGAAATGTGTGTTTTTTTGCCAATTTTAACCGCACACTTGTTGTTTGTGTTCATGGATTTTATAATGTCGTATGTTTATCCCCCAACACCACTTTCCATCAATCTGTATAGCAGACCCTCATGCCAAATTGAGTCAAAAGCTTTTTTGAAATCAACAAAGCATGAGAAGACTTTGCCTTTGTTTTGTTTTGTTTGTTTGTCAATTAGGGTGTGTAGGGTTAATACGTGGTCTGCCATACGGTAATTTGGTATAAAGCCAATTTGACATTTGCTCAGTACATTGTTTTCACTGAGGAAATGTACGAGTCTGCTGTTAATGATAATTCAGAGGATTTTCTCAAGGTTGATGTTGACGCACATCCCACGGTAGTTATTGGGGTCAAATTTGTCTCCACTTTTGTGGATTGGGATGATCAGTCCATGGTTCCAAATATTGGGGAAGATGCCAGAGCTGAGGATGATGTTAAAGAGTTTAAGTATAGCCAATTGGATTTTGTGGCCTGTATATTTGATCATTTCATTTACCATCAACACCACAGGCCTTTTTAGGTTGAAGGGTTTGTATTTTGTCCTGTAGTTCATTCAATGTAATTGGAGAATCCAGTGGGTTCTGGTCTTTAATAGCTGATTATAAGATTTGTAATTGATCATGTAGATGTTTTTGCAATTTTTCTTTGTTAAAGAGTCAAAAAGATTGGAGAAGTGATTTATCCATCCATTTTGGATAGATAACTCTTCGTGTTGTTGTTTGTTTAGTGTGTTCCAATTTTCCCAGAAGTGGTTAGAGTCTATGGATTCTTCAATTACATTGAGCTGATTTCTGACGTGCTGTTCCTTCTTTTTCCGTAGTGTATTTATATATTGTATTAGTGATTCACCATAGTGAAGGCATAAGCTCAGGTTTTCTGGGTCTCTGTTTTTGGTTGGATAGGTTTCTCAATATCTTTCTTAGGTTTTTGCATTCTTCATCAAACCATTTGTTTTTAATTTTCTTAGGTTGTTTGCTTAAAATGTGTTGAAGCGAAAAGGTTAAATATACTGTTTAGGCATCCAACTGCCAAGTTTACAACTTCACTATTACAGTGAAATGTTTTGTCCAGGAAGTTGTCTAAAAGGGATTGACTTTGTTGTTGCTTAGTTGTTTTTTGGTAGGTTTCCAAACTACTTTCCTTCCATCTGTAGCATTTATTAATATTATTTAGTTCCTTTCGCTTTGATGCCTCATGATTGAGTATTGCTCTGTTCAAGTAGACTGTGATGTTGCTGTGCTCTGATAGGGGTGTCAGTGGGCTGACTGTGAACGCTCTGAGAGACTCTGGGTTGAGGTCAGTGATAAAGTAGTCTACAGTACTACTGCCAAGAGATGAGCTATAGGTGTACCTACCGTAGGAGTCCCCTCAAAGCTTGCCTTTGACTATGTACATACCCAGCTTGTGACAGAGCTGCAGGTGTTATGATCCGTTATTTGTTGGTTGTTTTGTCATAATTGTGTCTAGGGGGGCATATTTGGGAGGGAATGCTGTCACCTCCAGGTAGGTGTTTGTACCCCTGTGTGCTGAGAGTGTCAGGTTCTTGTCCAGTTCAATCAATCAATCAATCAATCAAATATAAATTTGATTTATAAAGCCCTTTTTACATCAGCAGATGTCACAAAGTGCTATACAGAAACCCAGGTAAAACCCCCAAACAGTAAGCAATGCAGATGTAGTCCCCTGTAGCTCAGTTGGTAGAGCATGGTGCTTGCAACGCCAGGGTAGTGGGATCGTTTCCCACGGGGGGCCAGTTTGAAAATGTATGCACTCACTAACTGTAATTCGCTCTGGATAAGAGCGTCTGCTAAATTACAAAAATGTAAAAAATGTAAATGTAGAAGCACGGTGGAAAAACTCCCTAGAAAGGCAGAAACCTAGAGAGGAACCAGGCTCTGAGGGGTGGCCAGTCCTCTACTGGCTGTACTGGGTAGAGAGGAACCAGGCTCTGAGGGGTGACCAGTCCTCTACTGGCTGTACTGGGTAGAGAGGAACCAGGCTCTGAGGGGTAGCCAGTCCTCTACTGGCTGTACTGGGTAGAGAGGAACCAGGCTCTGAGGGGTGGCCAGTCCTCTACTGGCTGTACTGGGTAGAGAGGAACCAGGCTCTGAGGGGTGACCAGTCCTCTACTGGCTGTACTGGGTAGACCAGAGGAACCAGGCTCTGAGGGGTGGCCAGTCCCCTTCTGGCTGTACTGGGTAGAGAAGAACCAGGCTCTGAGGGGTGGCCAGTCCTCTACTGGCTGTACTGGGTAGACCAGAGGAACCAGGCTCTGAGGGGTGGCCTGTCCCCTTCTGGCTGTACTGGGTAGAGAGGAACAAGGCTCTGAGGGGTGGCCAGTCCCCTTCTGGCTGTACTGGGTAGAGAGGAACCAGGCTCTGAGGGGTGGCCAGTCCCCTTCTGGCTGTACTGGGTAGAGAGGAACCAGGCTCTGAGGGGTGGCCAGTCCTCTACTGGCTGTACTGGGTAGAGAGGAACCAGGCTCTGAGGGGTGGCCTGTCCCCTTCTGGCTGTACTGGGTAGAGAGGAACCAGGGTCTGAGGGGTGACCAGTCCTCTACTGGCTGTACTGGGTAGAGAGGAACCAGGCTCTGAGGGGTGACCAGTCCTCTTCTGGCTGTACTGGGTAGAGAGGAACAAGGCTCTGAGGGGTGGCCTGTCCCCTTCTGGCTGTGCCGGGTGGAGATTATAACAATTATATGACCTGTCAGTTATACCTGTCAGTTGTTCTAGACAGTTGACTCCTGCAGCGACAGAAGACCTGTCAGTTGTTCTAGACAGTTGACTACTGCAGAGACAGAGGACCTGTCAGTTGTTCGAGACAGTTGACTCCTGCAGCGACAGAAGAGCCTGTCAGTTGTTCGAGACAGTTGACTCCTGCAGACGACAGAACCTGTCAGTTGTTGTAGACGTTGACTCCTGCAGAGACAGAGGACCTGTCAGTTGTTCAGACAGTTTATCCTGCAGCACAGAGACCTGTCAGTGTTTAGACTGTTGACTCCTGCAGACAGAGGACCTGTCAGTTGTTCTAGACAGTTACTCCTGCAGCGAACAGAGGACCTGTCAGTGGTTCTAGACAGTTGACTCCTGCAGCGACAGAGGACTCGTGTTACAGTTGTTCGAAGAGCCCCTTTGACGTTGACTCCTGCAGCGACAGAGGACCTGTCAGTTGTTCTAGACAGTTGACTCCTGCAGCGACAGAGGACCTGTCAGTTGTTCTAGACAGTTGACTCCTGCAGAACAGAGGAGTGGACCTGTCAGTTGTTCTAGACAGTTGACTCCTGCAGCAACAGAGGACCTGTCAGTTGTTCTAGACAGTTGACTCCTGCAGCAACAGAGGACCTGTCAGTTGTTCTAGACTGTTGACTCCTGCAGCGACAGAGGACCTGCCAGTTGTTCTAGACAGTTGACTCCTGCAGAGACAGAGGACCTGTCAGTTGTTCGAGACAGTTGACTCCTGCAGCGACAGAAGACCTGTCAGTTGTTCTAGACAGTTGACTCCTGCAGCGACAGAAGACCTGTCAGTTGTTGTAGACTGTTGACTCCTGCAGAGACAGAGGACCTGTCAATTGTTCTAGACAGTTTAATCCTGCAGCAACAGAGGACCTGTCAGTTGTTCTAGACAGTTGACTTCTGCAGCAACAGAGGACCTGTCAGTTGTTCTAGACAGTTTAATCCTGCAGCAACAGAGGACCTGCCAGTTGTTCTAGACAGTTTAATCCTGCAGCAACAGAGGACCTGCCAGTTGTTCTAGACAGTTGACTCCTGCAGAGACAGAGGACCTGTCAGTTGTTCTAGACAGTTGACTCCTGCAGCGACAGAGGAGAGGACCTGTCAGTTGTTCTAGACAGTTGACTCCTGCAGCACAGAGGACCTGTCAGTTGTTCTAGACAGTTTAATCCTGCAGCAACAGAGGACCTGCCAGTTGTTCTAGACAGTTGACTCCTGCAGAGACAGAGGACCTGTCAGTTGTTCTAGACAGTTGACTCCTGCAGCAACAGAGGACCTGCCAGTTGTTCTAGACAGTTGACTCCTGCAGCAACAGAGGACCTGTCATTGTTCTAACGAAGTTGACTCCTGCAGCAACGAGGGACCTGTCAGTTGTTCTAGACAGTTGACTCCTGCAGCAACAGAGGACCTGTCAGTTGTTCTAGACAGTTGACTCCTGCAGCGACAGAGGACATGTCAGTTGTTCTAGACAGTTGACTCCTGCAGAGACAGAGGACCTGTCAGTTGTTCTAGACAGTTGACTCCTGCAAGCAACAGAGGACCTCCAGTTTGTTCTAGACAGGTGACTCCTACAGCAACAGAGGACCTGTCCCAGTTTTCAGACAGGTTGACTTCCTGCAAGTCACAGAGGACCTGTCAGTTGTTCCAACATTGACTCCTCAAGACGAGGACCTGTCCTTTGTTCTAACGTTGACTCCTTTCAGCAAAAAAAGGGGCCGCATTGTTCTAACAGTTGACTCCGCAACCAGAGGCCCGTCAATTGTTTTAGACAGTTGACTCCTGCAAAGACAGGGACCTGTCTTGTTCTGACGTTACTCCTGCAGGGAAAAAAAGGACCGCGTTGTTCTGACATTGACTCCCGCAAAGCAAAAAGAGGGAGGGCCCGCCCGTTGTTTAACGTTGACCTCCTGCACAAAAGAGGACCCGGCAGTTTTTTCAAAAAGTTGATCCTCCGGGAGCGACAGAGGACCTGTCTTTGTTCTAGACAGTGACTCCTGCAAGCGAAGAGGACGAGGAAAAAAATGATCCTCACGAAAGGGGGCCTGTCAGTTGTTCAGACAGGTTGACTCCTGCAGCGACAGAGGACCTGTCAGTTGTTCTAGACAGTTGACTCCTGCAGCGAAAAGAGAGGACCTGTCAGTTGGTCTAGACAGTTGACTCCTGGGAGGACAGAGGACCTGTCAGTTTGTTCTAGACAGTTGACCTCCTGCAGGAGAGGACCTGTCATTGTTCTAGACAGTTGGGCTCTGCAGCGACAGAGGACCTGTCAGTTGTTTCTAGACAGTTGACTCCTGCAGCGACGAGGGAGCCTTCATTGTTCAGCATTGACTCCTGCAGGACAGGGACCTTCATTTCAGACAGTTGACTCCTGCAGCCCAAAAGGACCTGTCATTGTTCTAGACATTGACCTGCAGAAGAGGACCTTCAGTTTCAACGTTTACTCCTGCGACAGAGGACCTTCATTGTTCTAGACAGTTGGGAAGAATCCTGACATCCGCGCACAGAGGACCTGTCAGTTGTTCTAGACAGTGACTCCTCAGGAAAAGAGCTTCTTTTCTAGACGTTGACCCCC